AAAACTCTAGAGGGTATCCTTGTATGTGTTTGAAATATAGTTTGTAGTTTGTAGTAATTTGTAGTTTGAACGGCCTGTTGACGGTTTTCTATTGAACGTACACGACAGTGACTGCCAAAAATAGGTGACCGGCCAATAAAAGTTCTAGGAAAATGTTTCTTTGGAAGTCGGTAATTTTTTGCCGTCTCGCTGATTCCATCATATGCGGGAGTGCTGCTGTTTTTGCTGTTCAACTGGTAATCATCTGAAACGATTGTCTGTGACAATATACTATATGACAGCAAGGCGCAAACATGATTAACAATATCAATGCGTTTGACATGTTTTGTTTGACTGTACTGCACTATGTTACCCGAACGAATGTTAAATATTAACACTTGATTGTCCGTCGCAACTGTCTCTTATCAGCTATAGTGTGTCGATTCTGAGTAACGTTTTGACACAATAAATTGCCACAACAATTGGATGTCATATTACTGACCGGCCCGGGTTTTGTTCGAATTTTGAGTCAATGCTCTAAAAGTTTGTTGCGATAATAGAGGTAAAACGAAAGTAAATATTAAATATTGATACTTTTTCAGTTCATTTTTTTTTTTTTAAGATTTTAATTAAGTATTGAAACGGTTATCTCAAGTGGGATAGACGCATGTACGTTTAAAATACAATCTTAAATTTGCTATGGAAATTTATGGCGGTTAAAAGTGGTGCGATCAAATTAAAAATTACTGCATTATCAAACTTAACAATGATTATTACACACTTGGGTACGTATAATTATTTTTCAAATTAAAAATATACACATTTTCCAGGTTAATATTTTAGGTGGTTAATGCGGGAACGGTCAGGAGAGTACGCGTAGGGGATATACATATATTACTGTTATTAACACCACCAGACCGTGTATTTTCTATTCGGGCCAAACTGCTTCGTTTTCAGTCAATTATTGCATTTGATCATCGCTCAATGCACTCCAATGCCGCTCATACAAGCAACACACGTTATTATATATGTAGGGACAATTTATACCTGTTTAGTATTCAACCAAAATATCCCAGGAAAATTATCCAATTGTAAATAATTTATTTTTAAATATCCGGAGAAATTTTGACATAGTTGTATGTGTGTACATTGGTATTTTTTATAATCGAATTACTATTATTTAAGAAGGTCGGTGTAATTAAAATTTAAGCTGTTGTCTGAAAATTACAAAAGATCTATTCTTTCGACGCCGAAAATATTGTAATTATATATTTTTAAACAAGATTTTTCTCAATTACTTTTCTCGAATACCTAGACATTTTCTTGTGGAATTCACGCCATATACTACGGTGACAAGACGTCTCGTGGGTTCTCCAAACTACAACTGCAAGCGACAGCCATAGCATAGCAGCTGCTGATATGCCATTTAAATAAGTATTTGTATAAAAGTCTCGGCAAATGACTACGAAGGGGCGTCCGTGCAATATTTCTAGACAGACAAACTTGATAAAACGTTATGGAAATCATGTAATATGTATGTTTGATGACACTCACAAATATAAATATATATTTTATATTCTTAGTAGGTCGCTTATAATTGTGGTACTTGATGCGATCATCGCATTTAAACCAAATTTACCATGATACTTTCAAACATATTTTGTCTTAAAAATTCACTCTAATTAGTGTAAATTGGCGTAATTATTGTAAATGCATGTTTTTTTGTTTAAAAGAAAAAAACATAAAATGTTTGATATTGTGTTATTTTGTAATACATAAACATCATATAATGAAAAACATTAAATACAATTTAAAAAAATATATATATTTAGATTTGTCTCGATATTAATTTCGATAACCTTCCATAAACCGTTTTATTTATTTTAACTTGTGTGCAAACAATAAAGAGTACAATAATCGAATCAGTCATTGTAATGGGAGATTTGTGTGTTTTTCACATAAAATATTTACACATGACTATTGGAGCAAAGGAAAATCATTTTTTTTTTACTTGCACTATAATTAACAATATTGCATTATGAATCCCACTATGGCGGCGACTATATATAGGTTTGGTTGACTGACATATTTTGTCGGTTAGCAAACATGTTTTATTATCGATATAATACTCTTACAGCAATAACTATAAAGCACTTTTATGTGAAAGTATTAGCATTTATTCAATGTCGGCGCAATATATAATTGACGAATAAGGTTCGAGCATTATAGTCTATATATATATTTATACATAGGATTAACTTAAAAGCTGATCGTTGGCTATATTATTTACAGCATGTCGATAAAATGTATAGAAATTGATCGCATAATCCCGTTTCCAACGGCCTTTGACTTGTATTGGTAAGGTTCCGAACGGCTCTTGACAAAATACAAAAATAATAATGATAATAACCGACGGTGCCCTTAAGCCTAAGCTGAAGCGATGGCGATTATGTAATTTTTCGGTTTGTGTCAACACACGGTTGGCGTGTGTTTGTAATTTAAGGAGAGCAAAACAAAAGAGTAAAACGATTTTCGCCAAAGATAGATCTAGGTTGGAAATATTTAGTATGCTCAAATGTTTACACTTACACATTGTTCTCTAGTCTTATATGTATTTTATAGGAAAACGTTATTATTATATAAAGTGCTTTCAGTCCATAATAGAATTGCGATGACTGATAAACGAAAAGGTTGGCAAGAGTTGGGTTGTAATATTCATAGTCTATGATGGAAAAATCAGTCATCTAGAAACGATAGAAAATTAAGAAGAATGTGTTTACTTACTCTGTTCTATTTGTATGATATGCACACAAATTATTATTATATTACAAAACGGGTCGTAGCCCAAAGTACAGATACATTATATAGGATATTGGATAATATAATATGGAATTGTCCGATATTAAATGGTAATATCGGAAAGGCTCAGAATATATATTTTACAGAGAGAAATAGAATGACAGAATGGGTGAGATTGAATGGGAAATAGACGCGACTGGCAATCTTAAACGAACAGAAAGTCTCTAGACTCGAAATCTTGAACAAATTCAATTGTAGAAAGTTTTGCATAGCTTTCGGCGGTTAACAAGCAAACAAAGAAGTAATAGTAGAGAGTTGCAAATTTAACATTCAATCGTGGAATGTAGGATAACATCCAAAGAATTTTGTGGACACCGAAGAGTTCATGATCTGGTAGACAGCTGATACAGTTGGAATAGTATATTTGTAATTTTATCGTTCAAAATACTTGTATTTATTATTTTACAGTATTTAAATTAGCTACACACCAACACAGTCAGTATACAGGAAGCAGTACTATGAGTTTCGTACATGTTTTGTGTACCGGGTGATTCTTTTAATGCCCTGCAATAATTTATTTTTAAAATATTTGCAATTTTATAGTTTTCTTTTTGAAAATATTTTTGTTTATGGTATGTTACTGTATGAGACAATATTTAAATTTGAACCTTTTTTATTAATTTTTTTAGATTTATCAGTTTTTGAAACTTAATTATAACGTATACATATTTTTTACTTTTTAAATTAACAATAATTTGCTGAAAATTTTGACTGGTCAATAGCCAGTTTTGAATAAATAGTTTTAAAGTTATTTAAGTTTAAAATTTAAGACAAGTGGAAGGGCGGAGAGTAGCGTTATTTTTATCTGCGCGCATTTCTCACTCCACCTACCGTCCTAAATTTTAAACTTATTTAATAGATTTGAAAATAGTTATTGTAAGCTGGTTATCGACCAGTCAATGTTTTTAGTGAATTTTCTTAACTTTTAAAGCTTATTAAATTTATACGTTGCCATTTAAGTTTTTTTAGTTGATAGAGCTTTAGCAAATACTAAAAAAGATAAAAATTTAAATATTGTCCCATATAGTAATATAGTATTTTCAAAAATAAACACTATAAATTTGCAATTATTTTAAGAGTAAACTAGTGTAGGGCGTTAAATGAATCACCCGGTATATATATTTATTCCTTTACAATACAAACTATATAATATGTATTTATGAAGATCATTGATCGTCTAAATAAAATGTTTTCGGGTGATTTAAGAAGGCGAAAAATATTAGTGTGTTGCGTTAAACTGATTTTTCTGTAGATTTGTACACGGCACATGAAGTTTGGTTGAATCTGGAAAAAAAAATAGTTGTATCAGTGACAACAAAACTCTTTAAAGTGGGTATATAAACAGCTAATAAGTTTAAATTGGCTAAAGTTTGTATAGTTTTTTTTTTAAATATTTACATAGTTTACGCGGTTATACCTATATTTACCAACTGACTTTGCCAACGTTTCGGAAGCATTTCGTCTTTCATCTTCAGGGCTGTGTTGCACGCTGGTTAGGTTTGTTGGCTGTTGCCTGTAGACTGAAGCGATCGTCTCCGCGGTCGCTGTTCAAATATGCCTATGCGCGTTCTCTCTCTCTCGCTGCCACGGGCTTCTCTTGTCCCGCCGCGTCGTTCTGCCCCCCCCCCCCACTTCTCGGACTCTCTCCGCCCTGTCCGTTGTGACTAAATGGAAAAATCGACTTGTTGAGCTTGACGAATAAAACCAAAATACAAACTCGGGGAGAGATTATTGTTATTTTTGTTTTTTTTTATACATACACATTTTTCCTACCGCTCGTGTACCCACATATCTATATGTATAACACACACACACACACACGTTAGTCCGGTCTTGCCGTATTGCGTTTGGGTGACCAGAAAGCGTAAATTCATATACAATAAATAAATAACAGAAGAGAAAAAAAAAAATGCTTGTGTAGCCGCCGCTCGCTCCCGGTGATGTCGGATGATTTATACCGAATGCGGACACCCATCCACCCTTTTTTTTTTTTTCACTCACCTAACCCGGTGACGGCGGCACGGCACTCTCGCACACAGACACACACCGCACAGCATCCGCCACCGATAGTTAGCCGACGACGGGTGGCCGCCCTGCGCCGTAAAGCCCACATTATGTCCTCGGCGGCGGCGGCGGCACACACACAGTCCGCCGGCGTTCCCAGTTGGTGCGTGTCATCCGAACCGGCAAAATGGTCGGACCCCGAGTTACGCGTCGTTGTCTCTTGTACTATATCGTGTTCGCCGCGGCCGCCACGGCCACCGGTGGTGCCGACGGATCTGTGTACGAAAAGATACCCTTGGGTGAGTAAAACTCAAATACGACTTTTGCACTTACGGCCACTCACCCATTAACCCCCCCCCCCCACCACTGAAAAAAAAATCTCGAACACGCAATCCCATTTTTTGTAAACACAACTCTTAGCCAGAAATAATTGCGATAACGCTGCCTCGTTGAAATTTATATCGCTTTTTGTCATGACTACAACGAATGCCGCTTAAAACGATCAACGATATAAGGATAATATTCTGATAGATGTGCGCTGATTTTGAACTAGTAACCAAAAAAAAAAAAAAAAAACCGTTTTAAAATTGAGTAATGCCTTTTCGGAACGGTACAAACGTTTTGACGATTTTATTTGACGACATAGTTTACTGAAGTTACAATAAATTATATAAATTTTCGGTGAAAACGAGAAACTTTATCAGTTACTACAAAAGTTATTATTAAAATATATTCTATATTAAATGAGAATATTTATGCATATTATTTTGGAAAACGTTTTTAAATACATTTTTGTATTTAATACTAAAATACTATTTCAATACATTACACCATTGAAATGTATCAAAATATACATAAATTTATAAATGCATTATAGATTGACAAATGTATAAAGATTTTCAATTTTTTATCAATTCTCAACTCTGCCTGTAGTCGACTTGGTGACATTAAATCACATTACGTAGGCAATAATAATATTGACACGATGACGAGTGACGTACGTGACATGTTTTCCACCGAATTTAAAACGGAAAAGTTGCGTCAATTTTCATAGGTTACGAGATTTGTAAAAAAAGTGCTTTCGTTGAAAATGATTTCTCATCTATTGGCCATAAATATTCTAAGAAATCGGTCAAAATATTAAAAAGTAATGGTTGGTCTAGAGTCTAGACACAAAAAAAAACGCACATCTTTGGAAAAATGTATCAATGGGTGTTCATTTGTAGATAACAAACCGGCTACAAACACAAAACAGTTCTATAACAACTCTATTTACCACGCTAATAGTATCAAACAATTTTTTATCAGGGCAATGCTTCCGCTTTATGATGTTTTAAGTTACTTTTCATCAATGAATGCAAAAAAAATGAATAAATCGTAGTTTTTTTTTTTTTTGATGTGCGAGCAATCTTTTTGGCGAGCAAAAAGTTTCAAAGCTATTTTTAAATGAGCAGTCGTAAAAATATATTAAAAAAATTCCTGTGAAATTAAGTTTTTAACTTTTAAATGAACTTTTAGAAATTCCAGAGAAAGGAATTTGTTCACATTTTTTTAGTACTTTAATTAGCGCTGTAGATTAAACAGAAATTCAACAAATCAGTTTCGAAAAAAACACGGAAGCTGATGAAAATAAACATTTATGAAAATATAAATTTAATATATGTATATACATTTAAATACTTAAAAATGTGCAAAGGAATCGGTATAATATTCTCTTTTTCTTAGACATTTGACGCCCCGAGACAGTTGAAACGACACGGCTTATACCACTTAACCGGAAACCGAACCTACCGTAAAAGATTTTGTTTTGTTCATAAACACAGTGTATATATATATATATGTACACTCTACGTAACGATAAAACATATTGTACAGCTTCTTCGAGTGGATCAAATTCACTTTTTTCTTTTCTTTTTTAAATGTATAAAAAAACCGTGACAGCCGACAAGCCTTTCGTTTATCCGACCGCAACATTAACAACAAATATATTATTACAACTATTGTTTATCCCGTCAATCGGCGACGGCCCTTAACGCTGTTGTTAAGAAATGTTCGGCGAACAAGTACACAATACTTGCGTCGGCTTGGCTTTTATTCGTTGAATTAATTTAATATTTCTTCGGGTACAATGCGGAGTAGTAAACAATGTACGTGTTAATCGGTTTGACAAGATGGGGGTTTCGGTGGATTCCCTTATTGTTCTTAATTTACGAGCGCGCCAGCAGTGAGGGCGCACACACAATACGCACATAACATTCGATTAATTTACATAAAATAATAATTATCAAGTACTTACCTCGATTCTGTTTCATTAACTTTCTCACACACCACACACGCATATACTTATCGCTGTTCATTGTACAGACAGATTCTACAACGGTAACGACAAACGCATCAATTTATCGCCGTGATAATTATTTATCACTTCGTCCGTAAACTTATTGAAATCTCGCGCTAATAGACGGATAGGACGATCAATTTGTTATCTATATACGCACACCGTAGGTACATAGTGCCACCACTTGTAGAGGTAATTTATCGACGTTTTCATTTTTGCCACGCTATGAACAGTTTTCCAAAATCACTTCGACAAACATCGAAAACGTTAAATCTAAGACAAAAAATTGTTTCTATCGATTATGGAAATAATGTCACAAAGAGCGTCCGCGTACTGCGAGTAGGTGTTAGTGTACCTATCGTTTTAAATGTAATTAAAGCAATTAAATCTACCACACAATTGTGTGGTAGATTTAAAAAGTTCAAGTTCATAAAGTTTTAACACATAAGGAATGGGGTTATATTTGACAAAGATATATCAAAATTCCGCGAACTCTTAGCTAACTATAGCGAAGTATAGAAAAGGAAAATGTTCAAAGGTCTTCTGAGATATTGACTACGGCCCGTAGTTAACAAATCACCCTAAATATTGACAAGTCATTCCGGCGACTAAAGGAAACAAATACCTACGCCAACGCACTTGTCTAATTTATTTTTATTTTACTCGCGTCGATATAGCATCTATAGAGATGTATATAATATAATATAAGGTACATATTTTGTTGGATGTATTCCAAAAACAACAATATAATAATATCGGCAATATATAAAGCTCTATTATAGTCTTGTAAACTTGTATTGTGGCGCGTATACACACTGTGAACCTATATATAATATATAATATTATAATAGCTTATATTACAATAAAACGTTTTATTTTTTTTTTTATAAAAAATATTTTTTTAGTAATAAAACAAAATCGATATATTTTATAATATTAGAGCTATATTTCCCCCCCCCTCTTTTTTTTTTTTGTAACCGAGTCGTTTATCTATCGAATATCATTTTTTTTTTATTTTGTAATAAACAGCGCAATAACGCAGTTCGGGGAGAAGAAAAGTTGGACGAGCGCTTCTTCCGAAAAAGAGCTGTTCCCGTTACGAACAAAATTATTACATTTGGAAATGATTTATTATCCTGGCGAAACCAGAATAAAATATAATATTTACAATTATTTTCGTACAATAAAGTCGTCTCGGATTTTGAACTGGCATTTTTTTTTTGTTCGGTGACAAAAAAAAAAGAAAAAGAAGCGGATCACGATAATCGCGTTGACATGACATTTTTGTCTACACGGAGCAAGCAGACTTTGAATGATAACTTTTTAATTTTTTTACTAATTTATTCGCGAATCCAACACTACTGAAATGCGCAATCAAAACGCGATTTTAACGCATTTTGTATACAAACACCGTAGACGGGTAGCAGCAAAGACATCGTAGTGCACAGCTGATGTATGTGTCTAACGACATTTGTCAATTTTAGAGATGCCCGTGTCAACAATACAAGACAAATAAGAACAATCGCGTAGGGTGCACGGCGTGCCAGAGCGGGGGGGGAGGGGCAAGGGTGGACGGGTCATGTGTCTGAGGTCGACTTCCGCGCAACGGGCAAAGACCTTTCCACTTCCGACTTTGGACAAAAGATATTAGACGGTTTATTTGTTCAAATTTCTTGCACCGTTCGATCGCGTGAAATACCGATCCGACGTCGGCGAAAACCGGTGACGTTCCATTGCACTTTGTTTGAGCACACTTTAGGCTTTACTACACGGTGATTTGCATACAAAGAGTCCGGGATACTGTCGTTTGGTAAAAAGGTCATGTAGTCGAGATAAAATTCAAATTTGAATCACTCGGCGGCCGGAATTAAAAATCCAGTTGTGCATGTAGTATGCCCCTAAAAAACCGTCTATAAGCAGCGCGTTATCCGAATATAGTATCACACAACTAGCAGGTACTATATAATGCATGAAAAATGTTCAATGTTCACATGTGTATATGTGTACACAGTTATCACGGGGTTGACAAGATTACAGGTTACATTGACCGCGCTTATATCCGGTATAGCTGACATAGAAATTGTAATCACACAACACGTATACAAAAAAATAATGTATCTTAATAAAAAGTGCACTGATCAAGACAATTCGTGCTGTCCTAGATGTTTACAACGAGCCTATGATCCAAATAGGAGTAATGGGAAACAATTCGTTTAGGTATGGGGGTGCTCAGTTTTAAGTTGTAAAATCAAAACTAAAAAAAATGTTTTCATAAACGTATTTGGACCAACTAAAAAGCTATTAAGTCAACTTCAGATATGTAGTTTTTCATGAAGATATCAATTAAGAACGAATAACATGTTTAGATATTTTTAAGGGAATTCGATAATGATCGTTCTCGAGTCGGGATTTTCATATTATGAATTTCAACTTTTTAAAATTATTTTAAAACTTGAAAATATCTCTAAATAAATCCAACTTTGATTTAAAATTAAATTGGTTTTTAAAAACCGCTTTTTTCGATAATTTCCCGCCTTTCTTACAGACGTCCATTTGAAATTATGGTTTTTTTGCTTTCTAACAAGTTTTGCTTGTAACTTGTAAGCCTAAGATAAAGGATTTAAAAAATTCTCCAAAACGTAATATATATATATATAGTATTAACTTGATAAAACTTTAGTTAAGAAAGTATAAACACTCTTCACTCAACTTACTGCCGCGTCTCGCCGCTGTGATTTATTATTAATCTTTTGGTACGCGCAAGATATGTTTTATTTTTTACAAATTGGTATTTTTTTTTGTAAAATATAATTAATTTGAAGATTGCTATTTTTGTCTGATTTATTTCTTCCTCGGTTCGTTCGAGTAACTACTTTGAGTGCAATTTTGGTTTTTTATTGATCTATCATCGACTTTTAGTGTTTATTTTATTTTAACAGTTTGATAAACCGCCAACCTCGT